TAAATACAGAATTTTCTTGAAAAACTGGCAGCCAAATGAGAGAGCTCAGAAAAGAGAATGTTATGTAGTATAACAATTGCTTAGAGTGAAATTACAAATCAATAGGGGCAAAATTATTTAATGAGCACAACTGAGTTAAATGGTTTCAATTTGGAAAAACACTAGTTTAAGTACACATTTGCATGGTAAACACCAAAATAAATTATGGTTGGATTAAAGAGTTGAAATATTTAAAAGTCAAAGTTAAAAGAATGGAAAGCATATAGATCTTTTAAATTAAACTTCTGGATGATAAAAGATGTTTTAAACATGGAGCAAAAAACTTATGAAAGATATATACAATATATGTAAATATATAAAAATATATGTGTGTATGATATTTGTGTGTATTTGTGTATGTTAGAAGAGAATAATTATGTGGTTAAACAAAAATTTAAATACATGTATGCAAACCAATTAAGAAAACAAAACCTGTAACTTAGATATAAACAAAGAAATAGAAAATAGGGAAAATATGTGGAGAAAATATGCCAGAGAAGCAGTTAACATTTTCAAATAAAGAGCTTATATAACTTGGCAATAAAAATATACCCTAACCTAACTCACACAAATAGGCAAAGGATATGAACAGAAAAGCTTAAAAGGGTGCGTTACAAACTCAAAAGGGTTTATATTCAGTCTATAAGCAAATTAAGGAAATGTAAAAACAACATATTTAAAAATTATTAAAATTATTAAATATCTTAATACTTAAAAATACTAGTAAGAAATGCCTACACAGAAAGTTCTCAAACTGCTCTGGTGGGAATTATAAATTGTTTCACTACTTGTAGAAAGCAAATTTGCAGTATGTGTTAACTTGATAAATACTGATAACTTTTAACCCAGTGATTCTAGCTTTGAAGTTTATGTTTTAAATGTTCAAAATGTGGGAAAAAGACATATTCAAGATAAATATCACCAACACATTTATAATATACAGATTCAAACCCAAACCAAACCAGCCTTGGTATTCAACAGTGAAAGGATATTTAAATAAGTATCACACAGCTACAAAAGAAAAGCTTTGAAAACCACTTAGTAACATGAGAAATGTTTGGGGTGTTAAGTGGAAAAACTAAAGATATCAAATTATCAACATATTACTATTAAGGTCTTTTAAAAAGTAATAAAAACATGGCAAAGACCAAGGAGACTAATAGTGAATATGTTAGTGGCAGGACACTGGTTAATATTTTCCCAAGTTTCTAACTTATGTTTTATTACCTTTACAAACAAAATGATTACTTTAAAATAAAAATAGTTATTAAAATTGTGAATAAATTTAACATTGTATACCTCTGGTAGGGTGCAAAGATATAAATATAGTTTGATCACAACAAAATTTTCATTGCATTTTGGTGATCAATATTAACAGCATTTACATGAAGACATACAGTGATTGTTTTGTTTACAGAGGCATGATGTGTGAAATTTATCATTTACAAAACTAATAACCATCTTCTTATTTATATTTGCCACTTTTAACGGATGTATTTATGAAAAGGCCTTATAGTATAAAACAAATATTAATTCATTGAGTATATCTGCTCAATTTCTAATGTAAATTGAGAAATGTTTTATGAGAGAGAATAAAATTTTAAAGTTCAACAGAATGATCACAATTAAGAAAATGAAAAACTTTAAAAGTCATGCTTAAGGAAAAAAGACAGAAAATTATTTATACTTAAGATAAGTGATAAAACAGGACTTAAACTGACATGAATTTTATGGAACCTGAATCTCAACAGCAATTAGGTTCTCTGCTACAATGTTGTCATGTAAACTGACTCTATGGCTCTTTTCCTTTCAGATATTTGAAAAGCAATTCCTTTTAAGGCCCTGACCTTTTAACTAGTACTTCTGACCGGAACTGACATGGATGCTTCCTTTTAACTGCATCTATATTTGTCAAAACTGTGGGCAGTTACTAGTGCATTCAATAAATTCCTTATGGCTGGCTGCCTTTTCTTTCCAATACATTAATACATTAGATTAAGGGATTGCAGTAATAAGTGTATTTTTTGTGTTACTTCAATTCATTCAATATTTTTCCAATGTGTATAGCTGTACTATCGTACATTCCAAGTACAGTTTTATAACTTTCTAACTGGTTAATTGTTTTAATAGTTTTCCAGAGAGATATATAAAGTACTCTCATGAGAAAAGCATCAAGTAAAATGACTTAATAGGACTTCTGAATTTCTACTGGCCTTTATTTGGTTTGAAACTGATCAGTAGCTTTAAGTAAACTTGGAACAGGCAAAAGAAAGGGGGAAAGGTTCCATTTTGTAATAGATTCTTCAATGGCATAAAAAATAAAGGTGTACTGAATAACTGATACAGTGATTTGAAACTGCCCTAGATTAAAAATGGTAATTGAGTGAATTTGCCTTCTACAAAGAAAACAAAGAAAGCTTTAACTCAAACATCTTCATGTATCATTTTTAAGAAGGTCAAGTCAAGCTGGGCATGGTGGTTTATACATATAGTCCCAGATACAAGAAGGCTGAGACAGGAGGATCATTTGTGCTCAGGAGTTCAAGACCAGCCTGAATATCACAGCAAGACCCTGTCTCAGTATGATCCAGCAATATCACTCCTAGGGATATACCTGAAGGAATGTGAGTCAGGTTACAATAAAGGTACCTGCATATGTATGTTTAATGCAGCATTGTTCATAGCCAAGATGTCCCACTACTGATAAACAGACTAAGAAAATGTGGTATTCATACACAATGGAATTTTTTTCAACCATAAAGAAGGATGAAATTTTGTCATTCGCAGGTAAATGGATGGAACTGGAAAACATCATCTTAAGTGAAGTTAGCCAGGTTCAGAAGACTTAAAACTGCATGCTTTTTCTCATATGTGGAATACAGACCTAATACAAAATATAGCAATATCATGAAAAGCAGGTCACACTAAAGGGAGGTCATGTATGAGAGAGAGAGAGGGTAAAAGGAAGACGTTAAGAAGGTGAATATGGCTGATGTATTTCCCATACAAGAATGAATATACAATTTTAAATTTGTTGAAATCACCATAAGAAGGGGACTAAGGTAGAAAGGAGAAAAACAGGATGAACCAATTTGGGTTACTATATATATATATATATATATATATATATATATACATGTATATATACATATATATATACATGGAAATACCACAAGGAAACTCCCTGTGTATCTACCTTTATCTCAAACAAGCAAAAATATCATTTTTTTTCTTTTTCTTCTACAAAATCAGTTAACAAGAGGTTGAGTAAATCTTATCTGGGGGGGCTGGTACCAGTAGAAGAGGGACGGATATAAGGAAATAGGGTCAGTGGATGAATATGGTAGAAATATTATACACTCATATATGTAGAGGGAAAAATGAGATCTGTTGAAGCTATTCCAGGAATGGGGGTGGGGGGGTAAAGGAAAATGATGGAGGAGGTGAATTCAATTACGATATATTGTAAAAACAGTTGTAAATGTCACAGTGTACCCCCTAATAATACAACAATAAATAAAGGAAAAAGAAAAATGAATAAATACATAAATGAAAATAAAAAAACTCTTCCAGTTGCTAAGGATGCAACATATTATTTAATTCTATATTTTTTATTTATTATATATGTATATAAAAGTATGTGAATTTGCTCCACAGGCATTATAACTTACTTTTATTACAAATTTGGATTCACATGACTAATTTTTTAATTTTCCTAGTAATTCAAATTTTACTTATTTGTTGCTAAGTCTCCAGAAAGCAATTTCAGAATTATTCTTAAAAGAAAATTAGGACCAATTTACAAATGATTTCCAAAAGTTAATGTAGCAAAAGTATGGTAGAGAATACATACACATATAATTTTCTAAAGTAAACTTTAAAAAGAAACTTCAAACTTTGCCAGATCCCTATCTTATAAGCATCAAATCCAAAAATTTTTGGCTGGATTTACTGTTGACCTCTCTACAGGAGAATCTCTCCCTGGCTATTTGCATGGCTGACTTCCAGCATAAAGATACAGCTCAAATCCTGCTAACTCTTGATTATTTGCACAATTATCAAAACAAAAATGAAGGCCAGGCACCAGTGGCTCATGCCTGTAATCCTAGCTACTCAGGAGGCAGAGATCAGGAGGATCATGGTTTGAAGCCAGTCCAGGCAAATAGTTCACGAGACCTCATCTTGAAAACCTTTCACAAAAATAGGGCTGGTTGAGTGAGTGGCTCAAGGTGAAGGCCCTGAGTTCAAGCCCCAGTACTGCAAAAAAAAGATAGAAGAAAAATGAAAAACAGGATTTATAAAGTTCCTGTGTCCTAACTTTAATATTAACTTCTACTTCACCAGATTTACAAAAAGCAAAATGACCAATTTAATGTAATTAAAGCAGTAAGTAATGGCAGGATAAAAAAAACCCAAAACACAACAACAAAAAACCCCAAAGATTCAGAGTCTATATAATGTGATTATAACATGTGTGGCAAGCTAGAAATAATACATCCATATATACAGATAGTATGTGTCTAGAAATAATACATACATATACCCTTTTTTTTGAGATAGGGTTTCTCTATGTACCCAAGCTGGCCTAGAATTTATGATCCTCCTGCCTCAGCCTCCCAAGTGCTGGGATTTTTATATAGTTTTAATACTAAGCTTTTCCTATACGTGTATCTTAATTTTTTAATTGAAAATAAGGATTTTGATGTTTTAAGTCAATATTTATATGTAGCCTCCTTAAAATTTGAAATATAATGCAAATAATTAGAATATGTTGTTTATGCATTAATGTTCAGTTTAAGATATGTAATATAACTACTCCTCTAAAATGAAACAACAAATTTCTTTTTTTCCACATCTGCATTAAGACAATTATAAATATAGTTCACTTCAGTGTTGCGAATATTGTCCAATTACATCCAGATGTATATGCTTCTTTTCTTTCCTCCTAAAGGTTACCTCACCTTGCACTTTGGACACTTTTGGGCATTTCTCTGTCCATGCTCAATTTCGCTGGCCCAGTGACGCAACAGTTTGTCTCCTTTTTTGTACTCCTTGCAGTTAACACCTTCATGCCAAGGAGAGTGGCACTTAAAACACCAGACGAATTGGCAAGTCGGGCACTGGATCTGCGTAAACAAAAATAACATTAAGTGCCAGTAGATGTACTGAGAGTGTGTAAAAGGATAGAATGGTAACGCTTGGGAAACTAACTAAAAGGTTATAATTTAAAACATCTCCTCCTCAACAAGATCAATACTACAAGATATGAAAAATCTGTTATTAAAGGAGGAAAGGGATTGTTTTGGCAAGGATGATTTGACTGTTTAAAGTTTCACAAGAATTAATTTAGTTTTATGAAAACCTTCCAGATTGAAGCATAGACTAACACCTGGAGGATCTCAATGACTCAGGTACACACTGAAGCTGCCCTTTAGCTCAACTTTCCCAACTTCCCAGGCATTTCCATTGCTCCTCTTAACCATGGCTTGCTTCACTTATGAAATCAAAGCCCCACAGATGCTTCATCAAATAAAAATATGCTAGCAATTACACACTGCTGTGTCAGCATATGTCGTGAAGCACCATCTAAAATAATGGATGCCTGTTTTGTTACCAGTTTAAGGGAGATTCATTATGAACATAATGCAAAGGATCCTATTATTAGAAATGTATCAACATGGTGATACTGTGGCCTATACTGAGGAAACCATCAGAAAGAGGCCTTCTTGTATATGATTGTCTGTATGTTCACAGAAACTATTTGCCTTCTTAGGGGTGGCAGAGTGGCTTAAGTATAGAGCGCCTGTGTAGCAAGGGTGAGGCCCTGAGTTGAAGCCCCAGTACCACCAAAAAAAAAAAAAAAAAAAAATTGCCTTCCACTTGATACGGAAGGTCCTTTATTCTGAATGCCAGTGGAGTATCCCATTCTCACACTGTATTTACACCCCTCACTCTAAAAACATAGGGCGTAACGAGCCTTTCCCAGTTTCATTTGATTAAAATGAGTTAATAAATATCTCACAACACAACAAAAGACATTTATAATTGACTTCTCTATGCTCCTACATATTATGTCACTGTAGCACAGGTGACTTTACTAACAAAACTTTGAAGAATGGTGGAATTTTTTTTTTTTTTTGGTGAGCAGGACACAGTATATCCACTTACTTTTTGAAAATGGAGCTTCTACTACATATATCAACTGAGTGAAGTTACAATCACAGCTATCTGCTTAGAACTCAGAATACTATCTTTTCATTTATGGTAAGAATATTGTTCTTCCTATTCAACTATGAAGTAACAAAAGTACTTTTGTTTTTAGCTTTCTGTAAAAATAACATTGTCATAAAATTTTAAAAATCTTCATGCTTATTTTTAAAAATTCTGATTAAATGGCAATATCATGCATTATAGTTTATCCTCAAAATAATGCTGTGAAGTACATATGATCATTTATAGATGAAGGGGCTGGGGGCATGGCTCAGTGGTAGGGCACCTGCCCAGCAAGTGTGAGGCCCTGAGTTCAAACCCCAGTACAATCCTCCCTTAAAAAAAAAAAAATGAAACTAAGGCTCAGAGAGATGAAAAACAATGCCCAAGCTAACATAGTAAGTACGTGTTAAGAAGGAATTTGAACCTAAGTTTCCCTGGCTCCACAGTCAACATACTTTTCACTGTGCCAATACACTGTCTCATACTCAACAGCATTCCTTCTTTGATGATTCACAACTTAAAATTAGTAGTTTAGAGAAGGTCCTGTGGTTAAACTATCCAGTAAGTCAGAATTCTATTATTCTTAATCAAAAGTGAATTGTGAAAATGCTTTTCAAGATTTTACTCACATAAATTAAAGGACTCTTGATTTCTTTTTTTTTTTTAAGGATGTTGCTATTCAGTTATTTAAACTACCTGCTTTTGCCTTTCCTGATCACTAATATTACATTAAGTAACATTTTTAAGGTAAGAAGAATGAGTTGAAGTAGATGATCTTCAGAAAATAAAACAATGTAAAATGTTTTTTGTCTTTTATCATTGAACAAAGACTAGATGCCAATATCACATGGGGTATTCCTTCAGTATGTGATGAATGATATGGTGAAGTCACAGACATAGCTTTCTTTCACTCATCTGCTTTTATATCAGGACATTTGAAAAGTTAATTCAGTTTTAGCCTATTACACATTATTCAAAATTTTAAATCCCTGGACTCTAGCATCACTGAATAAAAGTTTTAAGTTTATGCCTTAAATCCTAGCTAGTCAGAAAACGGAGATTGGGAGGATTGCATTTCAAGGCCAGTCTGGGCTTTTAAAAAAGTTCATGAGACCCCATCTCAACCAAGAAAAGCTGGGCATGGTAGCATGCCTGTCAGTCTTCCTATAGGGGAAGCGTAAATAGGAATATGGCCAGGAAAGTCTAGGTATAAATGTGAAACCCTATTCTGAAAAATAACTAAAGTAAAAAGGGCTGATGGTATGGCTCAAGTGATAGAACACCTTCCTAGTGTACAAGGTCCTGACCCCAGTATCACCAAAAAGAATTTTTTAAAGGCCTCTTAGATTTTTAATCAGTCTTTGGTTTAATTTATGAAAGGATTAGAAGAATGAATGTAAATGTGCTTTGAAACTGGGATTCACTCTATGATGTCAGACGTTATGCTGGTGCAAGAAGCTCTGTGACCAAGTGCTGAACTATCTCATGTATGGATCTCTAATGGAGACAATTAGAAATATGATGAGGCACAGTGATGCGTGTGTGTTACTGGGGATTGGACCCAAAGCCTCCTGGATGCTAGGCAAGTGTATTACCAGTTGATCGACAACCTCACCCTGACAATTAAAAATGTGTGATTCTCCTAAGGTATCAGAATGAAGGAATCTGATATTGGGTGTCTAAACCCGGGATTATGGCTCCCAATTTCTCACTATTAAAAAAACTCTACTATGTATCCTACCACATATACTCACCAACATCACAGATTTAAGAGACAGACCATGACAACATTACAAAGCAAGCTCTCAAGTGAATATGATTACAAGCTTTGAATTAAAAAAATAAAGGACTCATAGCCAAGCCCAGAAACTTTGGTATTCTATTCCTCCCACCCAGATTTAGTATCATTATTATGAAAGTTATGTTGTACATGTAGATGCCCAACCTCCCTAACAGCCTACAGATTCACTGAGGGCAAAGACTGCTCATTCATGCTGTATTTTCTGAGCAAAGTAACATAGACCTTCTGGCATATGGTAGACAGTAAGTTACTTATAAAATGAATTTAATAAATTCAAAGAAAAACCATGATGCCTACTTACAACCAGTGGCTGAGATGGCATCACCACTTCCTAGAGTACAAGATGGTGTTTACTAAATATTTTATACTTGTGACATTTTACTGAGCATTGTGATTAATACAATCACAAGACTTCTTCTATAAGAGGCATGGCTATCAGTGTTTCAAAAATAAGACTAAGAATTAGTCTTTGGAATCTCAATTAACTTGTCCCCAAAATCCACAAAAGATAAAAGAACTTTATAATATATTTCTGAGTTTAGACTCTCACTAGTTTTTGCAAAAACTTGTGCTATACTGCCACTCACACGACAAGTACACTGACCCACTTATCATAAGTGAAGAGTATGTTTTCATGTCTATTCATTGTGCTGAGAAACAATCCACAAAATAAACACAGAATACAAACCAAATAGGACCCCAGATAACTAATTTCCTCTAAATTCTCTGCACTCATATATAAGATACATATTCATTTTAAATAAATAAAAAATCATTACTTATTAAACTGAAGATATTAAGAGAATATCCATTCATAAATGAAGTACTGTAAAGATAAAAGCTAACTCAGTTTTCCAAAGGAGGGATTTTCTGTTTCATAATTTCATGTTACACAGTTTCTCAATATGGAAACACTGTTGTCAGTTTATTTGCCCAGTCAACAGATATTTATGGAGCACCTCTGTGTAACAGGTACTGACTATATTGATTACAGGCACAAAAAAGGAATGAAAGCAACTTGCCCTTTTTAAGGAATCAATTAGCAGCAGACACAAATCATCAGAGCAATAAAATGATGTTACAAATGCTATGGCAGAAGTTTGAATAAGTTGGTGTCATGGGAAAGATGCTTCAGGGAAAGCTGGAAGATAAATGTTAAGAGAGAATATGGTCTTGAACACTGAGTAGAATATTACTGGGACAAGTCATGGGTAACATGTCAGGCAGAGTTCAGCCTGAGCACTACATGGGGCCCTGAGGGCATGCACAGAAACAGCAAGCTTTCTATGTAGCCTGAATATAAATATCACTTCAGCTAATTCAACCCTGAGCCTTGCTGGAATATCTAATCAACAGAGTCCTCTAAGTTCCTATAATACGGGCATGTATGCCAAAATACACTGTAGTCCAGAGACTCCTTACATGAAACATAAAAATAACAGCTGTCAGACTAGGCTGTGTCCTAAAGTACCTAACCAATAGACTAAACGATCGGGAAATTAAATAAGAGGTTTTTTTTAAGAACTGACAAAGCCTTCCTCGTACAGGGGAAGATATGAACGAGTATAGGATATTATAGAAAGGAGAAAAGGAGTCTTCAATGCAGTTTGTTTCAAGCACTGTTTCTTTTATAACATAAATCCTAACTCCAGAGAGGGAGCAGTGGAGGGACATTTTCCACATTGAACATGGCTTGACTTCTTGCCTTTATCTTATTTCCTGAGATTTTGCTGCCTTATTTCCTGAGATTTTGCTGCGATTTCTCCTAAGTGATTGTGCAGTGACACATGGGCTCCATTGGTACTGCTCCCTAAACACAGCCCACATATGCCCAAGTGACTTTGCCTTAAATTCTCATAGGGTAGCTAAAATGATGCTGCAAAAGAAGAGAACTTTTCCTAAAGGCTGGGGACCAAAAGTAGACAAAAGACACAAAGATTAAAACATGGCAAGATAAGTTTTATCAAGATAGGGCACTTATTCATATAAATAACCTTACCAACCTCCCTCAATAGTGGTTTCCAGGCTCATTTCACATATGTTACACATTATTTATAGCACAACACATTCACCTCAATACTAGTTTTTATTTTCCAGTGGAAGGCCTGGTCT